CGGCCCGGGCACAGGGGGGCTGGCGCCAGCGGCGCGAGCCCTCGGGCTGCACGATGGCCAGGTAGCGGTCCACGCAGATGCAGGTGAGGAAGAGGATGGAGCAGTGCATGTTGAGGAAGTAGCCGAAGACGTGGGGGAAGGCGCAGCGCAGGCAGCCGCGTGTGCCGTGGACCACGGCGAAGCGCACAGGCAGGGACAGGCCCACCAGCAGGTCGGTCACCGCCAGGTTGATGGTGTAGGTGACGGACGCCGTCTTGGCCCGCGTGCGGCAGCAGAAGACGTACAGCGCCAGCCCGTTGAGCACCAGCCCCGCCAGGAAGATGACGCCGTGCACCGCCATCAGCGCCAGCCACAGCGCGGGGAAGGTGGCGTGGAGCTCCTCGTCCAGTAGGGCGAACAGGTGGAACAGGGGCCTCTCCGGCACGCTGAGGTTGGCCCACGCCGCTGCCGTCGCTGTGGCGTTGGGGGCCGCCCCGGCCGGGGGCCCCACGGGAGCCTCTGAGGGCATGATGGCGGCTGGCGGGCGCCCGCCCGGGGCCTGGGAGGAGAGAGACACGGGGTTACGCCGGGGGCCCCTGCCGTGCCTGCGATGCCCGCTCCTCCCTGCCCCGGCGCTGGCCAGTGTGGAGCTTCGGCAGAGGCAGACCTCTGACCCCACCCCTCCCTCCAGAGACATCGCCAGGACTCAGCGAGGTGACAGAGGTGACGGATGCGGCACAGGTAGGAGCGTTGGGCCACGTATGTGGCGTTCGAGCTCAGCTTCCTCTGCTTCCTCCTGTGCTCTCTGTGCAGCCTCGGGCAGGGCACTCAGCCCCTCTGTGCCTGCCAGGTGTCCTCACCTACACAGCGGGGATCGAGGAGCTGCGGTGGGGTTAGCTGAGCCCGGCAGCGCCTGGCACATAGGTGGTGCCAGATAAACCAGGATTCCGCTCAGGCAGAGCTCGCCCCTGGACGCCGCACCCCACACTGGTGCTCACCCCGCCCCCCTGCCCCCATGCCCGGGCGTCCCCGGCCCCCCCACCCGTCTGTCCTCACCTCCGGGCCGGCACCAAGTCAGTGAAGGGCTTCGCGAGGCGGCAGGGGTGCGGGGCACAGAATCCGCCTCCCTGGGCGCCCAGTTCCCTCCCCGCACTCAGACGCAAGCGCCCTGTCTTGGAGGCACTCAGTGGGACCAGAGCCTGGAGCCAGGTCCCGGCAGCAGCGGGGCCTGAGTGGGTGTGAGTTAAATAAACGCCGAGCTTCCCGCCTGTCCACGGCTGGTGGCCCAGACGCTCTGGTGAGGCGGGCTGGGGGCTGGGCTGGGCTCTCTGTTTATGTTCCTGCTAAGCTGTTTAACTTGCTGAGATTTATCTCTTTATTTATAAATGAAGGGTTAAGGGCCCCCCCAGCCCCACCCCTGCTGGGCTGGTCCTCCAAATAAGGGCATTTTTGGCTTTTTCAGGAGAAAGGCGAGGCTTTGGGGAGAAGTAGGGAGAGGGGGCAGGCAAGTGGAAGGGGAGGCACAGCCAAGTGGAAGGGGAGGCACAGCGTGCCCTCCCGCCTCCTGCCTCCCACCTCCCGGTGACTCAGGTAACCGGTGTCTGCTGTGAACAGGCTGACACTGCCCCCTCCCCTGGCTGGCTGTGTGGTCTCTGCTGTGGCCTGGGACTCTGGCTCTTGCCCACTAGGGGGAATGGAATGCCCAGCAGGGCAGGGCACGGGCCCAGCAGAGGGGCCCTCACTAGCTGAGGCTCAGGTCCCAACCTGGTCTGGAGGGAGGACTGGGTAGAGCAGGTGGCCACCTTCGCCCTTAGGCTCAGAAGAGTCACACCTGCCCAAGGTCACCCGGCGGAGCCTCTGCCTCTGCACCCCCGAGACCAGTGGAAGGGGTCAGGAGCAGGCCTGTGTCCATCCCCTCTGGCCATCCCCAGCAATGCGGGCCCAGGCGTCGGCTCACAGGCTCCTCCGGCGGGCTGCCCACCGCTGGGCACCGCAGCCACTAACACAGGGGTGATGGAAGCAGCTCAGGGAGACGGAGTGTGAGAGAGCTCTCTGGCGGGGGCGGCCTTCTGTGGGCGCGAGGGGGCGGCGAGGGGAGGCGAAGGGGCTGGGGCATAGCCTCAGGGCGGTGGGCTTCACCCTCAGGGCGGTGGGCGCTGAGCGGGACTCTGAGGGCTTCACCCTCTGGGCGGTGGGCCTCACCCTCTGGTGGGGGGGTAGGGCGCAGAGGGTCCCCTGGAGGGAGATGCCTCCATAACGCTCACCTCCTCTACTATGAACAAAGCTGCGTGTGGTAAGACACGGAGGAGAGGCCCCGGGGGCTGGGCGCCGGCCCCGGGACTCACAGCGGACAGGGCTCGGGACGTCTCCCACGTGCTTCTCCGTTTTCCGACGTGTCTGCGCTAGGCCAGCATCAGCGTCACAACCAGAGACAAATGATAAACATCACAGAATATTTCCTCTGGGAAATAGTCCCAGGATGACGCTGGCCCCCTGGAAAGTCCCCAGGGCCAGCCTCCATGCTGAGCCGCCATTCAGTCAAGGTGCTGAGGGTCCTGGCCAAGGTTGCCGGGAAGTGGGGTGGAGGGGTGCTCAGGTCATCCCACAGGCCAGACAGGTGAGGAGAGAGGTCAGCCAAGCACACACTGATTCTCAGTCCCAAGAATCTGAACCCAGATCCCAAACAAAGCTTAGCCCTGATGTCGGCCACACACTGAGCCACGATCTCAGTAATGTGATGGACCTTCGTCTCTGTCACACTGAGCCTTGACCCTGGCTGCAGACTGAGCCCTGATCCTTGTCACAGACTGACACTTGACCCGGGTCATACACTGAACCTCGATCCCTGTCACACTCTAAGCCTTGATCCCAGGTCATATTCTAAGCCCTGATCCTGGTCTCAGCCTGGGCCCCTCACCTCTGACTTTCCACACCCACCATCTCTTCCCCTGTCCTCTCTGCTGGGTCTGGCTATCGCTGTCCCTGTCACAAGGCCCCCGCCACCCCACCCCGTTACCCCGCCCCGGCATACCCATTCATCCGCCCCACCTGTCACAGCGACGCACTGAATTACACAGGCCTCATCTCTGGGGCATCGACTCACGACCGCCCCTCCCGTTTTGAAGAACAAGTAAGTGAGGTGGTGACCCTGCAGGCCCCACGCTTGGCCCCGGGGACCGGCCTTCCCCGCCGGTGGCCTGCTGACGGCCTTGCTGATCCACCCCGCTCGGCCCTGTTCTCCACGGGGCAGAGAGGTCGCCATGCTGGGGGCGTCGGGGCTGAGCGGCCCCTTCCCGCCGCCCCCCGCATGGCCTCAGAAAGGTCTTTTCTTCTCTGGGCCTCGTTCCCGCTCTGGTCCGCACTGCCCTACCGACCCCGGAACCTGCTTCGGTCAGGCATGTGCTCTTCCGGGGTCCCCGATGCCTCAGCAGAGCGCCCCCCTCACCCTCCACAATCTCGGCGCGCCCCGGGCTCCTGCTGGCCCTCTCGCTGCCACCGGGGCCGCTCCTCGTCCCTCTGCCGTCCACGCTCCGTGGGAAGGGGGCCCAGGGCGGCGTGCGGACGTCACGGGGTGGCGGGTCACCGGGGTGCGGTGCTGTGAGGGGGTTTGGGCAATAACAGCAGGCAGCAGAGGTGCAGGCCTGGGTCGCCGTGGGCTTCGGTCTCCCGGCCTGCGAGGCGATGTAAGGACAGCACCCTCTTCCTGCAGTTTCCCAGGGGACGCGTGGCACCGGCCACTGCGAAGGTCCTGGGGCTTCCCCCGGCTGTGCACGTGGGGAAGCCGAGGCTCTGGGAGGGACAGGTCGGGACCTGAACCCGTGCCTGCCTGGCTGAGCCTACACTCAGGTCCTTGGTCCCTAAAGGGCAGGCGGGTCACCCCCTCTGCCGGGAGCATGGCGGGCACCCACGGCCCACGTGCCCCTCTCGACTGGCCCCTCAACACGGCCTGGAGTGAGGGGAAAGTGGAGGCAGCCCTGCAGCTCCAGGGGCACAGCCTGGCCCGGCCCGCCCACCCAGCCCGAGGGCCAGGCACAGACGTGGCCCCTAGACGTCCCCCAGCGGTGAGCAAGCAGAGTCCCAGAGACCCAGGTCCCAGTCTGGCCCTGCTGCTCCCTCGGCCCTCGGCCTTGGCCAGGTCGGTGGCCTTGTTCTCCTCACCTGCTAGGTGGGGCCACTCCCACAGCCCGAGGGGGGAGGCCTGGCCCTGCCCCGGAGCCACCCGAGCCCTGTCCTCTCTCCTTCCTGGCACGTGCCCTGGCTCTGGCTGAGGCAGAGGGACTCTGAAGCTGGGGTCAGCTGGCAGGGCCCGGTGGGCGGGGGCCATGTCCTCGTGGTGCCTGGCACGGTGCTGGGCTCAGAGCCTAGAAACTGCACCAGGGCACTGTCTCCAACTGAGGGGCTTGTCGTTGTCCGCCAGCCTGGCACTGCCCCCTACCCAGCCTGCGCCACCCGTCCACACTCGGACACGCCTCTGGGCAGGAGGGGTGTGGTCTGCTCTCCGGGGACTCAGGTCAACAGGGCAGGGCATCACCGTCGAGTCCCAGCCGCTGCCTGGACTGTCCCGTCCCGAGCCTGGCTCCACCTCGTAACGGACCGCGTGACTCTGGGGCCTCCGAGCCTCAGCCTCCTCGTCTGTGAAGTGGGCAGTTAGAATCCACCCTTGAGGCCGGGCCGGCGCTGGAAGGGACGGGAGAGGGTGTTGGTGGCTGGAGGGCGGGAGACAGGGCTGCCTGTGAGCAGAGCAGGGGCTCAGGGAAAGGGGACCCCTTCGGAGAAGGGCAGCGGGCTGCTGGCGGGAGTGGCCGCGGCCGGGCCATGCGACCCCAGATCTCCAGTGGTGCGTCTTGGTCCTGGGTGTGCAGCTGCGCGGGAGAGGAGAGGACGGGGCCCCGGGGCTGGGCACCCCACTTCTGGAACATCTTTGGCTGCTGGCAGCGTGGCCCGTGTCTCTGGACCTCAGGCCCAAACCCTCAACACTGCTCTACAAGGCTCTCCCAGAAAGCAGGGCGGAGGGAGGGAGGGCGGTGGGATCTCGGGGCTGAGGGGCTGAGGGGCTGGGCCAAGGCCGAGGCCCGAGTTCTCCTGGCGAGACCCCTGGGCGGGGTGACCCAGCCTCCCTCCGCCGCTCATGGGGTGAAGTGGCCTGCTCATTTTCTCGGCTTAGGGCTGGGGCCCTGCAGAGCTGAACCCTCGTGATGTGACGAGACCCCAGGCTACGGCGGATGAGAGGGCGGGGCTGGGGTGCCCTGCTTGCTGCTGCGTGGTGCAGGGTGAGGGGCGCGGTCCCCCGCCCCACATGCACGCCTGGAGCCCCACACGTCGAAGGTTTGTGGAGCTTCGTCTCACTGTGCTGCTGTGTGCATCCAAGGGTCTGCCACCCCCATTACACCGTGAGCATCTCGAGGGTGAGGCGGGCGAGGCGGGGGGCTGGGGGCAGAGTTCTACCTGTCTCTCCAGCACCCAGAACAACCCAGGCAGAGTGGCACCCAGCTTTCTCTTTGGCTGACGAACCCGAGTGAGCCCTGTCAA